TTGAATCCTTAAAAATCCTTAAGGAAAACCAAGCTACCTCTTTTATCACTCTATGCTTCAATTAAGGCCTTTCGACGATTAATATACCTCTTTTTCTAAAATATAAAATGGTGGTAAATTGACAAATGTAGTTTGAGTTGGAATCAAATCCAATTGGAAAATAATTCAATACCATCCTAATAAGAAATCATTTTTCATATTTATTATGACCAGAAGCTGGTTCTATTTGAACTTTGTTATTAATTTTGACTATTGTACTATATAGTATCAATATATTCTATATACAAAATAATCGTATTTCTAAATTCATTTATAAATTGGGACTCACGTTCTTATCAGTGGAGATCTTGCCACTTTCCCACGACCTTCTATCAGTGTCTTTAAATGTTATTACGACACGACTTCAACTTTGTCCTTAATTTCCTAATATAGCTGTGTCTTGATCTATCCCTTTCCAATCTTACCTTCTATTTTTTTCGTCAATAATAATACTCATAAATTTGTTGTATCATATTAAGTGTCTTAACAATTTTCTTCGTCTATTTTCAATAATATTCAAGATTAGTCTTTTCATTCACCCTGTGTAATTTGTACTTCTTAATTTACTTCGCTACTTACTACAACGTAAATTTGTAGCCTTTTCAGGTAATTTATTTATTGCCAGCTGATCCAATAGATATTGACAGCTATTAAATGTCAAACGCGTTTTCTAATAATTTTCGTTATTTAGAATAATTTTCTACAATTTTTTGCAGATTGGTAAATAAGAACCTTCTATAAAGTGATCAAGGGATCACTTTATAGAAGGTTCTTATTTACCTATCTGCAGAAAATTAAAGATGAACTCTGAATATGAAAATTATACCCTATTTGGGTATAATTTTCATATTCAGAGTTTATATCATCAGTCCTATTGCTATGTGTTATATATAGATATGTAATATTTGGTTAGAAATTTGAATCTCACTTCCTTTAATTATTAATAATTCTAAATTTTAAATGCATTTTTCTATAATTATAATCTTGTCCTGGGTTAGGACATATAATTGATTATTTATATTTAAAGAATGAAATATTTATAATTTATCTTATACATATGGTACTACATAACTCTCTTTTATGGACCGACCAATTACAGATGCTAAGATGGTTCTCAAATTAAATCATTTAATTCGTAGCTATTATAAAAAATATACAAATGAAAATCATCACAAATTAATTACGACAGTGTCCAAGGAAATTATAACGTTATGCCAACATCTTCTTAATAAAATTTTAAAAAATTCAGTATGTTTTAAAAGTCTAATAATAAAATCTATTAGTGTTGGTCTAAAAAGTAATTTGGAAACCAAAAATCAAAGTATTTCTGCGTCTCTTATGGGGTAGACATAGAACGAGTTTACAGAAAACAGAAAATGGTACTTCCGTGGAGAGGTGTCGGTATAATGGTTCTCAAGGAAGAGGCGGTTAGGAGTAAAATATTTAAGAAGGGAATTTAAACGATTTTCAGCATGGTGTAACTATGTTCCAATGTTACTGAAGCAATATCTATTGCACAAAGTCGTCTACGTCGGTATATCTGTCTCACCTCTTTCAGCAATCAAGCATTTTGCTTTATAAACTTGTTGGTTAGATGGTGGGATTTTACAATTAATTTACAGGTTACAAGCTAAACAGAACTTATGTTATGGTTACTAGACAACTGATGGAAATAGTAACTTACATTTTTATTGTAAATATATAGAAAACACCATATAGACAATTGTACATCAGTAGATATCTATAAATAGATACAAATGTTTGTACTGTGCGAGAAATCGAACCTGCGACTATCGGAAATAAATTGATGTGCAAAATAGCTAGACCACCGAAGCCGTCGATAGAAAATACTATTAATACTTTATTCCACACTCTGTCCAGTCATATAAAAAACACATCGTTTATATCGACGGAAAGGCGCTCCATAGGTGTAAATGTAGAGATAGTTAGAATTAAACTATTTTAGAAGATAATACAGTTAAAGTTGTTCGTAAAATGGCATAAGTATGGTATGTGGTGCTATTTATTTTGTATTTTTTCCAGTTACTAATACAAATATCTTTATATTTTCTATAAAGGGTTGTTTTGATGTTGATGTGTTTGTAATACATATGTTTTAGAGTAATAAATTATTTTAATTGATTCTCTATATTATTAGTGTACCTAAAGAACTAACGTAGGTAATAACACAGTAAGTAGAGAGTTTTAAAATACAATTTACTGAAATTTTAATTTCTTACCATACTTGAAAAAATAAAATGGTACAATATTATATAGCAAAAATGAGCATCATCGTAAAATAAACACAAAGCCAGGTGTAGTTTTAAATAAGCTTTTTTCATTTCCTGCCTATTAGATATCATGAGATTAAATGAAAGTTAGCAAGCAGTATTTTTAATACATCTAGGGAGATGGCATGATCTAAATATGAGTACAATTAGCATAAGATTTTGGTTTTTATAATCATTGCCTGTTAAATATTATTTTATACCAATTTGATGTTCACATTTATTACAAATTGAGCATAAAATTGGCTCTACATCTGTTGAGCATTAGATAGTATATAATTCCATTTGTAAATGTTTTCGACCATCATCAGCCTTTGCTCCATAGTGTGAACCTCAATTACAAATTTTTAACAAAAATTTATTCTTACACGATGGTAGATTACGTATGTAGTTAGGATGATAGTTATGGTAGATACATACATACTTTAGAAACTGACCAGAGTTAGGTAGAGCTCGTTCGAAGCCTTCTTAATTTCTATGGTCAAGCACTTAAAAGCTGAATTCCAACTTGAAGAGAGAGATATGGCAGTGAATCTATAGGAAAATTCACTGCCATATGTCTCTCTTCAAGTTGGAATTCAGCTTAAGTGAATTTCCCTATATATCTATAGGGAAATTTAAGTGCTTGACCGTAGAAATTAAGAAGGCTTTAAGAATTTGAATACTTACAGAGCAATATAAATACCTGCAATTTTAAATCATAAATAGTATTAGCTGTTACCCACGATCTCGTCCGCGTGCAATTTAGTTTGTTTTTATTAATATCAATAAATATTCTGAACTAAAAATAACCTAAGTTACTCCATATAATATTAACTACCTGCGAATGCAAGGCCACCAAAATTGGTCCAGCTGTTTCAGAGATTAGCAAGAACAAACAGACAGACATTTTTTTTATTTAACTACCGTATATACCTACTTCCATGTGCATTTAGCAAGAAGCTGTTAATTGGAACTTTGAAATATACACTTTAATTTTATTTATTTGTATAGATTACAAGGTAAGATATAAGATCTTAATCCTTCCTAAATGGCAACGTATTAGTGTTGTCACGGATGTCATGACGAGATGTGTGTTCATTTATTAGGCAAAGTTACCACTCAGTAGCATCAGGGTGACCGTCAACTTGTTTGCTATTCCGGTGACATAATAATACACACTTACATCATGTGTTGCTCCATTTTTCGCAGCCGTCTTACTGTGTGATCAAAAGTCTAACCCTTTAGACTTGATGGGTTAAATGATTCCTATTACTACAGAGATTGAGATTTGATAGTTAAACATTGATAATTGATTGTAATGAAATACGATAGAATACGAACATTACAATTTTTTTATTCGTTTTTTGGATAAGTGCATGTATTTGTATGGTTCTTTGATGCAATATTGTAGTTAGCCTTCGGGCATACAGATCACCACGCATTTGCCTGTAATATGCACCTACTCTATCTCTAATAGACCTCTGAATGTCTTAACTGCTATGTCGTATCTGCAATTAGGCTCTTTTATATGATTCTGCATTATTGATTTATTACTACTTACTATCAGAAACCTAGGTTGGTTTTGTTATCTACTTACCTATATTGATTTATACTTATCTACCAATAGAAATAGACACAATTAAGTAAAGAAACAGACATTTTTACTGCCTTCCCTAATGACTTCTAGTAGATTAGAGCGACCTACTTGACATTTTCTAGGATCTAAGCGGGTACCGGCATCTTTATAGAATTAAATTGACCAATTATCGTAGGTATCTTTGAAAAAACCCCTCGCAACCCGTCCTTTTTATCGGCAAATGTTTGTATAGAGAGGTGACTGCAATAAAAATGCGAGCGTGTCTCTTGGTAGGCCGCTACGGCAGGGGCCATTCATTCCTTTGATGACTTCATTTGGTCGCGGCAACTGAGTGCTCGGCGATAATGCGCTATTGTTTACCCTTCGATAGTGCGCCTTCATTGCACGCGCTACACCGCGCCAGAGCGAGACAACACGATGCTCGGCTGCACCGACGCTCCGTCAAATGTTACACCGAGCGCGCAGCGTCTCGCTCACAGCTAAACAAATTTCGCCCGAGAGAAAGCGACGGCAATAACCCTCGTAAAAACAGGTAGTAGAAGAAATAATAATCATCTTTACGACTTCTCACTCTATTCAGCACCTTGTTACGATATTGCGCGCTCATTGTGGCCCGGTCGAGGAGTGGTTGTAAAATCTTTTCTTTACTCGCCCGTTTCACTAATTGTACGTTTATGAGTTTACGACTTTGCGGCTTCACTTTTCAGTAGTAAAGTTGTTATCGGTCTTTTGTTGGTTTTTTATTCGTTTTGTATTTACTGGGCTTGATTTCATAAAAGTTGCGCTCCACAGCGACTGTTTATTGCTTTCCAAAATTTCATTGTTAAATAAGGACTTGCGAATATTTTAACCAGTTTAATTGTAATTAGTTGTTAGTTGTTAAGAATATATTTATATTAAGTCTTGTTAGTGCAAAATTGAGAGAAAATACTTCTACAGCGCTCGAACCACGTGTTCGAGAAGGAGTGATAAGAAGGGAAAAGAGAGCGTAACTGATAATATTTAATAGTCATTAGCGAAAAGGGGACGGAACAATCGGCCGTGTTGCGATCGCAGGCCGCGCGCGGGGCGGCGCGCGTGACAGTAGAGTACGTGAGTCGACCGGTGCTGGTCGTATACGGCATACCGCCGCGCGCTCCCGCCACACGCGATCACAAACTTCGCTCGCGATACTCGCACCACCACTTGGCGCTGAAAATTAAAAACAACCCCTCCACCACTTACCACGCTACGAACTAGAGTGAGACGAGCCGGCGCCGCAGACGGGACCGCTTAAAAACTCGTAAAACCCGCGGCACGCGTTCCACAGTCGTAAAATAATCGTAAAAAGTAAACACACGTCAACTGGCCTTTATCGCCAACGGAGCCCATTATGACGCTCGAGTGACGTTTAAGAGGCAATAAAATTAATAAAATTAAATTTCATTGTCTCGTATTCGGAGTGACATTGGCGGAGGTCGCGTTATCACGGCGCGTGGGGCAGCGATGACATAAGTGTTGTCAAACTGAGTGACGTTTGTGTCGGTGACCGGTCAGAATGAACTCCTACTTCGAGCAGGGTGGTTTTTATGGGGCGCATGGTGTGCACCAGGGCGGTGGCGGCGGCGACCAGTACCGAGGGTTTCCACTGGGGCTGACGTATGCCCAGCCCCATGCTCTGCATCAGCCCCGGCCGCAGGATTCTCCTTATGATGCCTCAGTAGCAGCGGCATGTAAACTGTACGCTGGAGAGCAACAGTACGCAAAGGCTGACTGTTCAAAGGCAGCTGGTGAACAACAGAATGGGTATGGAGCTAAAGAATGGGGGTCAGGCCTGGGTGCACTAGTGAGGCCGGCAGCATGTACTCCAGAGGCCCGGTACAGCGAATCTTCGAGTCCAGGAAGAGCCTTGCCGTGGGGCAACCAGTGTGCGCTCCCGGGAGCAGCGGCAGCCGCAGCACAACCAGTACAGCATCAGCCCACCAACCACACCTTCTACCCCTGGATGGCCATAGCAGGTTAGTGATATAATTCTTATATCTTCAGATTAAGGCTATCCCTAATTATGCACTTACCTGTCGGAAAATTATTAGATACTGAACTCAAATTAGTTAATAAATATTTTAATAATAAAAACGAATAACCTACATAAATATATTCGCCATGGCATCCTCATTTTTTTATAATTATAAAAGTAACTTATAGTTATAAAAAATAAAAATAATATACATATAAAAATATTAAATATGGAAAGTAGGCAAATTATTTTTTAATAATTAAAAATATATAAAACATATAAGATATCCGCATAGTTACTTACTACCTGCTGTCTATATGAAAAGCCTCTAAAATGTTGCTGCCATTCACTAAAAGCTTTCCCCACAAATTTTCATATCTCATAAGATACCAATAAGAATTCTCATAACAAAACAGGTAGGACCGACAAGTCGACTCCAAGTGTCAATAAAAAGCACATAAAACGAACGACCCTTGTTAACACTTTATTAGCGTCGACAGATTTGAACACCATCCATAACTTATTACAGCCATCAAATCTGTACGAAATAGCCACTGAATTAGCTACTCAATTTAATAAACATAAAAATGACTATTGATATACTATACTTATATTATCCATAATGATGAAGGTATTTATTTATAGTCAGATTACGTTTCGTTTTATTTTCATTCTGAGATATCAATAATTTCATTTAAATAAAATAAATATACGAATACCAAAGTATTTAACGGTAAGTGGTCATAATAATAATTGATTTTATTATGTATCAGATATTAAAAACGATAAAGCAATAAAAAATAAAATGTAATGGGTCGTTTTAATATCACATCAGATCAACTAAAAAGGTTTTAGTAACAGTATAAAATAATTACGGCAAACCTGTATTTGCATACAACCTGTAGCCTAAGTTGAATTGAAGCGTAACAAAACTTGTTTGCCATTAAGATATCAATTATATTATATGACAACTAAATATGATTTTGAGGGAGTGTCGTTGCTAAAGTTGGGCACGGCCGAACGAAACTCAATCAAAGCATCTGCTAGCATTTAGTTTTATGATCGTAGCGGTATTGGCAAACATTTTTGGACGGACCCAGTAGGTAGGACAACGTAAAATCATTAGAAAAATTCTAACACAAGAAGTGTTAGAATTTTTCAAAATCAAAATTGGTATGTCAGATATTTAGAAATTTTTAATTAAAATTTAGTTTCATAAATAATATTATTACGAAATGTAAGACTGATTTCTACTTCGCAGATAATGAAAAATGTAATATAAAAAAGTTTACTTCTTTTCCAATATATGTGTATTAAAATCCAATAACCACTAAAAATACCCGACCTAGCGACCTATTACCAAAGAGGGTTTTCACCATAAAACCCTCCGTTACTGGTAAAACCACTAGGTGCCTACACTGGGTCATAGTAACATTTTAGCGCTCTCGTTGTGATGGGAGCGTGCGCCCGCGCCGCTCAATGGGTCAATGCCCCGATCTAGTTTGGGCACATTATTATTAACTTGAGGAGTGCCACTGGCCACAACTCGACAAATAGCCACTCGATTATGCGTTAGATCAACTGAAGATGAAAGTCGGCTGTGTAACAGGCCGATAGATGGGTTAGGTACCCATCTAGCGCTCGTGCAGGTGGTTTCGTTTAGAAAATTAATTGTCGTGTTACTGAATTTTTGATAGTTCCCATAAATTATCCAGCATCCAATACGTCGGAAAACTAATAGATAAATAGATTCAAGAATAATTGCCTATTAGATTTATCGATACAGTCGTAAAATTCCTATTAGCATAAACGCCTATTTGTTTCCATCAATATTGTGTCTTGTAATACTTGTAATGCAAATTCTAATTAGAATTTTATTGATACATACTATATTCTCCTACTTGCTTACACTTATAAATATTTTGAAAATCGATAAGTATGTTTTCGTTGATCTCAATTCAATTTCAAATTGGATGCGTCTAATTAATTATTTATCTTGTAAGAGAGGAACGGATAAGAATTCTTTTAAAAAAGCGTACATATATCGGAATCTATGAGGCGAGGGACATTACTACCGCGTAATTAACTCAACGCGTGTGGTCTCGGTTCTCATAATTCATGCGACTTGATAAAATTAAGTAACACGGCCTAAAAAATAAAACAAAACTAGGTAGTCGAACTGTCGGCCATATTTCACTCGGGGTTCACGCAACACGGCCCGCGAAACAATACAAGGACGCGTTGGACGTGGCCAGTATGAAAAGTTCGGGCTTGGCCCGCACCGAGTTCGAATCGACAGAGGAGACATCTTTGTTGCGGTTTTGAAAACTATGAAAAATCTATTTTATTCACTTCTATTAAAATCCTTGTAACTTAAAAGCTTTATAAATGTATTTGCATAAGTTTAATTAAGTAAATAAGAAACCTTTTTTTACAGATTTCATAAATTAGATACAAATTTTATTAGAAAGCTTAGATATATACGTCGATTGTGTAGATATAACAAATGATTTTTTTCTAGTGGAATAATTAAAGTTAATAAACAATCCTATTATGTACTCATTCTACCTTTAAATGCATTGTTATTTTATTATTATAAATCTGAAATTATGTATCGATATAAGTTTTTAATATCAAATGGAATTTGAAAAACAAATGTAAATTGATGGAAGTAAAAGAAGAAATTTCAATGATCGTCTCATATTTACTTTTTACTAAGTGAAAGCTACATATAATATTCAAAACATGTTAAAATAGAATGGTTAGTGACGTCCGATATAAATAGACCAATGATTCGCTAATTCGTATTCACATAATACATTGCTCTTAAAATTATCGCAGTGCAAGCCCTACTTACTTACAGAAATTACCATAACAAGCAGCTTCATTTTGAACGGGCTCTCAAATGCGATGTTTAAAATGCTACATAGTGTACCTGTCTAGTCAGTTAAATAATAACTGTAATTAAATAAGCCACTGTTACTCTGAACTTAAACTAAAGTAGTGTCGCTAACCAAATATAGCAATCATGTTTCTTATTTTGAATGCACGGATAGTAAAATATGGTTTTTATATTTATTTGTGCCAAAAGTTACAGTTCATACTACTACTATCCAATTTAATCTAAAAGTCAATATATTAATAAATTATACTGTTTCAATTCAACAGAATATACCTTTAATATTTATTATTTATGATTTAATATATGCTTTATTTTTATACCTTTCAAATTTAGAACGTTTATCTTGTTTCCATTTAAAATGTATCATTAAGCTATTGAGTTAAAATAATATAGTGCCATAAGAAACATAATCATACCGTAATCACTTAAATTGCATTTACATTGCAACACATTATTTCTTGATTAAAACCCTCCAGTAGCTAGACATAGGCACCCAGTAAAGACCCAGCCACGGTAAATGTAGCTTCAACTATTTTGTAATTACCAATTGCTTACTATAGGTATTACTTATCTGTCTATGCTTTCATCATCTAAAGACCTATTTGAGTACTCAAGAACATTTAGTGATCACGATTAAATTATGCATATTCTGTTGGTATCGAAGATATATTATTTAAATGAATAAAAGAAAAATCTGAATTTTATTATAGATAGTATTATTTTTTCAGAGTTCTATAATAACATTATCACCTTTTTAAATACAGTTATATAAAACACAGATTATAAGAAATGTTATTTTTTATCGTTTTGAACATGTCACCTCTATTTTATCGCTCGCATTCCAATGCGTATTGGTAAAAAAGAATTACAGTTAAACAAATAATTTGCCTAAATATTCTTAAACAGTTTTAGATAACTATTAGTAAAATGTCAGTGAAAGCAAAATTATTAAGTCTCTACTTTACCTAAACGAAGAATTGTGTGAATTTATTATATTTTTTATTTAAATACAACCACCAATTTACAACACTTTTTTGTTTGTGTTTTATTCACAAATTGTGTCTATTCTTGTGTTTAATTTAAATAAAATGCTCTTGTACTACTTTGATTGCATTTAAAACTTGGTCTAATCTCGTACGTACCGAGACAGGGCTGACCCTATAATTTCTAAACCAGTTCCAAAATTGGCGACTCAATTTCGCTCCGGGCTCAAAACATTTTAAATGCACCTTTATTAAAGGGAAATGGGATATTGTAATCACTACCTAGTGGCTTACTTGTAAAATGCTCTGAAGCTAATACGTGGTTGTCTTAGTTCTTTTATTGTTAAGAGGCGCTCTACCACGTGTTAAGATCTTTTTGATCTTAAATGTAACGAAAAAATAAAATATCTATTTGAAAATCTGTAGCGTCTATCGTAGCAATAAATATATAACAAATTTTCTGATGTAAATATCTATTTTACTTTTATTTATATATTAATGCTCTATCTATTTATCTTGAATATAACTGCAAATATTATTAATGTTAACATTGTTATTTTACATAAGATATTTAAAACTCTTTTTATAATTAATCCGACATGCTCACTTCATCCCATATAATAGGATTAAAATTTATGGAGCGAAATATCATCATGTCATGTGTTCCTCATATTTCGCTTTCTGTGTTTGAATGTAACTGCTTGCCTATGTATATTACCTAATGTTATTATTTATATAGTAATATTATTAACTATAGGTATATTAATACCTTTAAACTATTTTCTTAATTTAAAAAAATGTGATTTTAAAAAGTCTAATAATTTATTTAAAAAATATATAAGCAATTTTAGTTATCATAAATATGGGAATGAAATCGAAGTATACTTGTAATTCTCAACACAATTTGTTCAGTTTTATGAGTATTTATGGGTTTTAAACTGGCATAGTGTTACAAAGGTGTATATTAACACATTTTGAAATTGACCTTACCATCTTATAAATAGAGGGAAATTATACGAAGTCTATGAGTACATAACTTGCCTCTGTCTCACCTAATTAATTCCGCCGCCAAACAGCTTGCTTGCATACAGGGTTCCGGTTTTAAGAATGAAATAT